ATAAAGTGCCCCCCCTTTTGCACACAAGACAGTACAAAAAGACAGGGATATTGCTTGCAAAGATGCAAACAACCCATCAAATATGTCTACTTTTTAGACATCCGTGTAACATGCCAGTGGTTAGCCTTAAGTGTTGCACTATTGCATGGTGGGGGAAAGAGTAACCAAAAACAATCTTGCGAGAAAGGAAAATATTTTTTGCACTTTCTATGTGTGATGACAAACTAGGGCATCTGTCAGCAATGGATGCTGACCACAGACACATTACTGTCCAGCCTTGCATCATATAAATCACTGTTCTAGTCCACATGACTACTGGACACTGATAAGATACAGCCAAAATAGCCAAGAGATTGTTTGCTGAGATAAGCACTTGCCCTGGCATACTAATTTTTATGGGTCAATGTGACAGCAGGATGGGTCATCGTGACCGACCTATGTGTGCTCTTGTGTGTATGCGTACATACGTATGTATGGGAGGAATTAAATTTGTCTTTATTTTTGAAATATCATTTTAAAATATATGAAACAGATTCTCTATTCACAAGAGAGGATATTACTCACTTTGCTCATCAAGACCTTACCATATAATCATATAGCATGAATGTACCCTTTCCACCTCTCTCTCACAGCAATATGTAATCTATTAAAAGAATTAGCTGATTTGTTAGTATTGAGCAATGAAAAGACAAGACATATGTGGAAATACTGACCCATTTTCTATTGGGGGAGAAGTCACTGCAGTTCCTGTTGATTTCAGTGGGATAATTCAATAGCCCAAGTGATGACTAAATCACCCCCTGGAAGAATGGTTTGAGATCAATGTCCCTATGCTGATGTGGCAAAGAACACGATGTCACTGATGCTCCCGTTTAATTGTCATATATTCTTCTTTACCACAACACACTGGTTCTATCATGGTGATATTCTGCCAGATGGCGATCAATGTAAAAGAAAGGCTTGAGATGGATCAAAAGGACATCCATTTCAATCACCTGCTGCAAAATATGAATAGAGGAAACTTCTTATACTTCTTGCCACCATGAGAGAAGTTGGCAATGTCATTAAAAATGGTTTACTTGCCTGTAACTTTGGTTCATCTAGTGGTCTTCTGTGAATTCACGCCAATGGGTTAACTTGCGCCTGCGCAGAGTGATCTCAGAACCTTCTAGAACATAGGCACATGGTGCCAGGACCTCCCTCATGCTGCCTATAACCTTGCACTGGCACCGAGTGCCTCAGTTCTGTAGGACTTTCTGCTGCTGCACAGCATGCTGAGCGGCACACATGACAGCTAGTGGGGAGGAAGGGCGGGAAGTGTGAATTCACAGATGACCACTCGCAGAACCAAAGTTACAGGTAAGTAACAATTTTTTCTTCTTCATGGTCTCTGTGAATGCACACTAATGGGTGTTTAGCAAGCTTACCTACCAGGCAGAGGGATGTCACGAAAGAACAGATGCTAGCACAGCACGACTGACAGCAGCTTCGGATTTAGCTTGGACATCTAAGCGATAGTGAACTGCAAATGTGGATGGTGTGGCCCATGTGGTTGCTTTACATATGTCTGTCAAGTCCATTCCTTTGAGGAAGGCTGTAGAGAAAACCACAGCCCTGGTGGAATGGGCTCATGTAGCCAGCACCATGTGTTTTATACAAATTCTCTACCCTTCTGGGTATTTGATGAGAGGTAGAGGGCTTGTTCCATGGTTCTTTCGCAAGTTTGAGAAGAGAACAAATAAACGCCATGTGAAGCAGTGGGGACTGATCTTTTGTAATGTCCTCCTACACTTTGTCCATCTGTTCTGTCACCGGTTGATCCACTGCTAAATCCATTGCTTTCGCTATCCGACATATGAGATGCAAGTAAGTTGTATAATCTTCCAAGTGAGAAGATGGGTGGCTACCCACTACCGTGGAGTCTGGTGTAGGAAGATTTGGAGGAGAATCTTTAACTAAGTCTTCAACTGAAGCTTCAGAATCAGAAGTGTAAGCCTCCTTTGGTCTGGAGATGGAGTAAACTCTCGGGGCTGGGGGGCTGGACAGGAAACATGCTACAAAGCCGACCGCTCAGCTATAGTGTCATCTTTGAGCCAGGGCTAGTTTGTTCCACCAACTGAACCTCCGCAGAGATGTCCATCCAATCTGGGGAAAAGGACAGGCATGGAGATGGTGCAACCGGCAGCCTGGAGCCCAAGACATCCTCATCTCCAGAGGGCACACTCGGGCCCAAAGAGTCCCTTTGGGGTCGAGGCGGCAGAGATGGTAAAGCAGCAGCTAAGGGATCCTCAGTCAATTTCCTTTTTCTTTGGCATTGACGCCAAGACCATAGAATTCAAGCCTGAAGAGGATGGTTTTGCAAATTTTTAAGCCTGTTTGGGTGATGAGGCTGCAGCTGACAAAGTGTCAGTTGGTGCAGACTACAACAGCTCCATGAGTTCTCTCGGGATGGGGAAAGAGATTTTTCCCATAAGAAGGAGCGTACGAGGGGGTGCTGATAAGTATTGAGCCTTTCCCGGAAAAAAATGAGCTAGGAAGCTTATAAAATGCAGGGTGTATTGGCCAATTTGTCTGTATTCAATGGTGCAAAAATCAACTACCAATGATTTTAACTTATCTTTCATGTTCAGGTCCAAAGTGAACATGGCAGCACCTCCAGAAAAGTTCAATGTGGAAGACTATAGGACCATAATCAAGTTCCTGTTTCTCCAAGGGAAATGTGCAAAGCAGATCAATGATGAAATGTCACAAACTATGGGTGACAGTGGCCCTTCATATGTAACAGTTAAACGTTGGGTAGTCAATTTTAAAACTGGACATTTTGGTGTTGAAAGTGAGAAACCCAGTGGAAGGCCTGTTTCTGTCATTATGCCTGCAAATCTGAAAGCCATCCATGACATGATCATGGAGGACC